CAAAGAGTCAGACATGACTTAGAGACTGAACAACAACAACAAATATCTCCTTGCAGTTTAATCAGTTTTACTTCATATATTTTGAAGCACTGTTATTAGGTGCTTAAGGGTTCTTAAGTCTCTTGAAGAATTGACCCTCATTATCATTATGTAATCCCTAGTAATATTTTTCTCTTATCTCTGGTCTTACTCCCATCTCTGAAATCTAGCTTGACTAATATTAATATATCCACTCCAATCTTCTTTTGATTGATATTAGCATGATATATCTGTCTCTGTCCTTTTACTTTGAGCCTATCTATATTTTTTATCTAAATTCTTATAAACGGCATATAGCTGAGATCTTATTTTTAAAAAACCTATTTGGACAATCTCTGTCTTTTAATTGTTGTTTATCTAGACAGCTATATTTAATATGATTATCAATATGACTGGATTTTAACATACCATCATGTTATTTGTTTTCTTTGTCTCATGTGTTTTTTTGTTCAATTTAAACTATGTTTCTGCCTGTTTTTTGATTAATATTTATAATTCCATTTTTATCTCTTTTATTGTTCCATTAGCTATACTTGTATTTTTTTCAGTGGTTGCTCTAATGTTAACACTATTCATTTTAGTTTATCACAATTAACCTTCAAGTAATATACTATTTCACTTATAGTTTAAGAATCTTACAACAGTACATTTCCATTCCCTCTCATTCTTTGTTTTACTGTTATCATATATTTTACTATTATAAATGTTATAAACCCCCAAACATATTATCATTATATTTGTTTTAAGCAGTTAATATTTTCTTAAAAAGAAGGGAAAGTGTTTTATACTTATTTACACATTTACCGTTTCTAGTCTTCTTCATTCCTTTGGATGTATCCAAATTTCTCTCTAGTATCATTTCCCCCCCCTTTTTTTTTAACATTTTATGTATTTGTGCCTCATCTTTGTGCAGGGGCCATGCTAATCTCTATTGTTCCAATTTTAGTATATGTGTTGCCAAAGACAACACTAGTATCATTTTCCTTTTATCTAAAGGACTTCTTTATAGATTTCTTATAGTCCTGACCTACTTGTGATGACTTCTCTGAGTTGTAGTATGTGTAGTATGTTTGCCTTCATTTTTCAAGATTTTTTCCTGGATGTAGAACACTTGGCTGACAGTTAATACTTTCAGGACGTTGCTCCACTGTCTTCTGCTTCCATTGTTTCTGAAAAGAAGTCTGCAGTTACTTTTATCTTTTTTCTTTTGAACATAATTTGTCTTTTCCTTTACCTGCCTTTAAGACTTTCTCTTTACTAGTGACCTACAACATAAACTCATAAAGACAGCTTAGACCAAATTTAATATCTATGGTCCTTGTATCATTCATCTTCCCTGGGGCTTTTTAGCCTCACTCTATATCATGTGTTATTTTCTGGTGTGACTTCTGAAGTAAGCTGCATAGTCACCTCAAGGATAGCTCCCCTCCATATTTCTATATCTGCAGGTCTAACACTCATTTTCCTTCTTCAGCTCTATGATTACTGACAGGCTGGTGCCCTGGAAGTAGAAGCACCATCTTCACAACCCTCCACCCACACTCTGGCAAGTCCGGTTCTGGGCCAGTTGTAGAGCAAGTTGGAGGATGAGCAAACAGGCTCCAGGAGAACTTTGGAGAACAGATTTATGGCTCCTCACCTTTTATCATTGAATGTCCTGAGGATTTACAAAGGAGGAGCTCAGTGGATGAATGAGGAGGCAAGGGACTTGTGAGGGGGCCTGCTAGCAAAGTCAGCTTCATGGGTCTGCTTAATTAAATGTTTACTTGGGGTGCCTTATGCATATGCATTTATTTGGAGTAAGGTTTGGTGATGGAGATCATGTGGCACTAACCAACTGCCTGCCTACTGGCACTATGCACCCTTGGTAGCACCTGGGTCTAGCCTCACCTTCAGATTAACTGATCCAGGGTCAACACATATCATGCCTTTTGTGTGTAATGAGTCTTTACCTAGCTCTGCTGCTTAAGCCTACCCCAAAAGGCAGTATCAGAGGATTTGACTTCAAGGCAGAAACTCAAATGCTGGTTTGGGTGCAGGAACCCAGCTGGTTCCCCATCTCATGAACCACACCTCCCTCTGACCAGGATTCCTCTAACAGTGGTCTCTAGGGCTGACAGAACAATACAATTACTTAAAGCTGACTGTCAGATTTTACTTTCTGCTCTGACCACACTAAACATGACAACAGGAAATGACTACAGAATTTGCAGGGACCTAGTGCAAATGGAAACTCATAGGCCCTTGTTCAAATATTATTAAGAATTTCAAGAGGATGACAGAGCACTAAACCAAGTGAGGAGCCCTTCTGAGCACAGGGTCCTGTGCAGCTGCTGGCCGTGTGTGACAGGGTTATAAATACAACTTAACAATGTGTACCAGGACCAGGAATTCCTTTTGCATGTTTTTTTTTTTCAGTTCTGACACTAAATACCTAGATCTCTTTGGTCTCTTTTTTAAACTGTAAATATTAAGAACTAATGAAAATTAAAACATTTTCTTGGTATATTTGTATCATACTTCATAGTTATTTTCAAGCAAACTGCCTACTTTCACATCCCTGTGTCACAATTTAATCTCAGACAAGTTAAATAGCTTCTCTGTATTTCAGTCCCTCATTTGTAAAATTGGGGATAGTAACAATGTCTAACTAAAGAGATTGTTGTAGGGTAAATGAGATCATATATGAGGTGCTAAATATAGTGCCTAAGGCTCCAACTAGCACCTCTATATGAGTTAGAAAAAGAGCCCCTTTGGGTACAGGAATTAAAAGGCACTTCCTCTCACCAATGAGTCAGAGGAAGTTATCCCTTGCAGGTCTATGCTTCATGCCCAGGACTTGGCAAACAGACCTTAGCTGGCTTTCAGCCCCACTCATACCCTTGGAAGGCCCCTTTGTGCCAAGCACAGTACTTAACATGTGGGTGGCCATGATCGCGTCTGATGCATAGTGAATGCTCCGTAAAACCAAAGCTCTTGTGAGGGCTGTGTGCATAGTGGTTAAATCCATGGCCTCCAGAATCAGACCTAGATATAGAATTGTTGAGTTGTAAAGTTTGTCTTCAACACCCTCCATTCTCCTTTGGTGCTTCTCTTTCTCCGTTTCCTCCTTGAAGCATCCCAGCTCTCCCTCATCTTCTCTGAAGGAACTGGACACAGCCAGGCCGTTCAGGAAGCCAAAGCCTGTCAGTCTTGATTAGGCAGACTGTTTCCTTGGGAGTGAGATCTTCTAGAGGCAGAATCTAGCAGGACCATTCAGCCCTGGCTTTGAATTCTGGCTCCTCAATCAATAGAAAACGTGTACAGGAAGCAAGAGAATGGCCTTGTATTCACTACTGACCCCGACTGAAATTGCATATCCCCAGCACACGGTTAAGGCTTAAAATTGTTTTATTGATAGTTATAATAATTTCTTTCAGAACGCAAGCCATGGGTTGTTTTTATTTCATTTATTTACTTATTTATTTATTTTTGGCTGCCCTGGCTCCTCCTTCCTGCTTTCTTTAGTTACAACAAGTGGGAACTACTCTCTGATTGCAGCATGCAGGCTTCTCACCATGGTGGCATCTACTGTTGCAGAGCACAGGTTTGGTAGTTGTGACACACAGGCTTAGTTGCTCCATGGTGTGTGGAATCTTCCTGGAACAGGAGTCAAACCTGTGTCCCCTGCATTGGCAGCTGAAGGGGATTCCTAATCACCAGAACACCAGGGAAGTCCCAAGACCATGTGTTAAATTGCTTTTAGTCTCTGCAATGTCAGGCACTTAATGTGCACTTAGTAACTATGCACCCAGAATTAATAGCATCATTGGTATTGCATTTTGCAAGATGCTCTCATAAAAATGGCTTCATTCTATTTTTCCACATCTTGTGAAATAGGCAGACTCACCCTTTTGAGGCCAAATTTACAGTTGAGGAAGGTAAGACCCAAGATGGCATGTGGCCTGCCCATGATCGCAGGATTGACAAAAGATAAAAGCTGATCCAGAGCCCAGGACTTCAGATCCTAGGACCTCACCCAGATTCCATGCCCACTTACAATGCCAGAGATTCCCTAAGTCCACTTGGCAGGCCAAGGCCAGGAAATGAATGAAGTTTCAATGATCCTCAAAGAGACTAGAAAAATAAAGATAGGTAGAGTGTTCAGTTTTCATAAAGCTAAACTTATTTCATTTAAAAAACTAACCTTGGGGGCTTCCCTGGTGGTCCAGTGGTTAGGAATCCACCTTGCAATGTTGGGGATACAGGTTCAGTCCCTGGCAGGAGAGCTAAGATCCCACATGCTACACAGCAGCTAAACCCACGTGCTGCAACTACTGAACCCATGCACCACAACTAGAGGGTCTATCTGCCTCATTGGAAGATACTGCATGCCACAACTAAGACCCAACACAACCAAATAAATAAACGTTTTTAAAAACTCAATTTAAAAATAAAATATCCTTTATTTTGAGACTGTACTCTTCCTAATTTTATATAAAAATATATGTTCTTCTATAGTGTTACTAGGTGAAAGTTATTAGACATACCAAAAGTTGCCAAAGTGACGCTTGTCTGTCCCCCCACCCCCCAATTATCTGACGTTTTACTGGTGTGTAAAATCTAAAAGAGTGAGAAGCACTGTGCAATAACATGCCGTATCTTTTGAATAAATAAATGCATGGAATATTTAAGGCAACTAAGTCTTTATTGTACCAGCTTACTTAGGAGAGGCACCCAAAACTAGAGAGATTAAATTGGGGGGAAAAAATGTATTCAGGATGTCTTCAGTTTCAAATTGGGTCAGTACCGCATCTTTGGGACGGAGGGGAAGGGGCGGTGGAGAGGACCTTAAAGAAAAAGGAAAAAGAAAAAAGAAAAAAAAAAGGAAAAAGAGCATACTCCAAAATAACTGGATTGCATTTCTTTGCGCAACCATGCTTGGTACAACAGCATTTTGTTTTGTCGCTTTCTCTGGTCAGCCTGATCAAATACTCTGCCCACTTAAAGGAGATTGACCTTGGAAACAATGTCCTGGGAGAAAAGGCTGCTGTTGACCTACTTGAAGCACTGAGAGCCAGAAAGACAGGTAGGTGTTTTCAGTTTGTATTCCCCTTCACCTGTCCACATCCAATCCTTCCCAAATGCTGCACTACTCACAACTTGCTCCACTTTTTCCACTGAATAACTGGCTGGAGCTAAGTGACGACCAGGATCACTGTCACAGGCTGGCACCGTTGTGTGGCCTGTGATTTGCATTAAGTTCAAGTGCTCTTAGGATGTGATATGTAGGGTTTGATCTAGGTGATAAATGTTGAAATGAAATTTTCTCCATTGCTCTTTCGTTCCTCCTGTGCTCTTGGAAAGTGAAAGTGTTAGTCACTCAGTCATGTCTGACTCTTTGCAACCCCATGTACTGTAGCCCACCAGGCTCCTCTGTCCATGAATTCTCCAGACAAGAATACCAAAGTGGGTTGCCATTCCCTTCTCCAGGGGATCTTCCCCAGGGATCAAACCTGGGTCTCCTGCATTGCAGACAGATTCTTTACCATCTGAGTTGCCAGGGAAGCCCTGTACTCTTATCCTCACCTATTCTCTGAGGACTTGTCTCCTGTTCTCTATTCTTTTTCCCAACCTGACCTTCAAAGATTTCTCCAGGTATCAACTGGAAAACTAAAGTAACAGCCCTCATAAGATTCTAATGTGCTTCCTGGATCATCAAAGCCTGGTTCAAGTGTGATAGGTACAGAGAGAGCATTAAGGGTATTTTTTGATCATATAATCCTTTTGTAATTCAGAGCCAGACATTGTGGAAAGCGAAGTCAAGTGGGCCTTAGGAAGCACTGCTGTTAATAAAGCTAGTGGATGCGATGAAATTCCAGCAGAGCTCTTCAAAACCCTAATGGATGATGTCATCAAAGTGTTGCATTCATTATCTTAGCAAATCTGGAAGACCCAGCAGTGGCCACAGGACTGGAAAAGGTCAATCCTCATCCCAATTCTCAAGAAAGGTAGTACTAAAGAATGTTCTAACCATCAGACAATTGCACTTATCTCCCATGCTAGTAAGGTCATGCTTAAAATCTTGCATGCTAGGCTTCAGCATTATGCAAACCAAAAACTTCCAGATGTCCAAGCAAGGTTTAGAAAAGGCAGAGGAACCAGAGATCAAATTGCCAACATTCACTGGATCATAGAGAAAGCTAGGGAATTCCAGAAAAACATCTACGTCTCTTTCATTGACTACTCCAAAGCCTTTAATTGTGTGGATCATAATAAACTGTGGAAAGCTCTAAAAGAGATGGGAATACCAGACCGCCTCACCCGTCTCCTGAGAAACCTGTGTGGGGGTCAAGAAGCAACAGTTAGAACCCTGTATGGAACAACTGACTGGTTCAACATTGAGAAACAGAGCTGTCTGCTGTCACCCTGTTTACTTAACCTATATGCTGAGCACATCATGAAAAATGCCAGGCTGGATGAGTTACAAGCTGGTATCAAGATAGACAGGAGAAACATCAACAACTTCATATATGTGGATGATACCACTCTAATGGCAGAAAGCATGGAGGAACTAAAGAGCCCTTGATAAGGATAAAGGAGGAGTGTGAAAGAGCCAACTTAAAACTAAATATTAAAAAAACTAAGATCATGGCATCCAGCACCATTACTTCATGGAAAATAGAGGGGGAAAAGGTGGAAGTAGTGACAGATTTCCTCTACTTGGGCTCTAAAATCACTGCAGATGGTGCCGCCATGAAATCAGAAGACATTCGCTTCTTGGGAGGAAAGCTATGAAAAACCTAGACAGTGTATTGAAAAGCAGAGACATTACTCTGCCGACAAAGGTCTGTATAGTCAAGGCTATGGTCTTCCCAGTGGTCATATACAGCTGTGAGAGCTGGACCATAAAGAAGGCAGAATGCCAAAGAATTGATGCCTTTGAACTATGATGCTGGAGAAGACTCCTTAGGGCTCCTTGGATAGCAAGGAGATCAAACCAGTCAGTCTTAAAGGAAATCAACGCTGAATACTCATTGGAAGAACTGATGCTGAAGCTGAAACTCCAATATTTTGGTCATCTGATGCAAACAGCTGATTCACTGGAAAAGTCCATGATGCTGGGAAAGATTGAGGGCAAAAGGAAAAGAGGGCATCAGAGGATGAGATGGCTCGATGGCATCACCAATGCGATGGACATGAACTTAGGCAAACTTCGTGAGATGGTGAGGGACAGGGAGGCCTGGTGGACTGCAGTCAATAGAGTCGCAAAGAGTTGGACACGACTGGGCCACTGAGCAACAACAAAAATCCTTTGAAAGTGAAAGGATTACATGGAACCAGCTGTTTAGTATTGGCCATACCTGTCCTCTCCTTCACAATACACATGTCCAGAATTAATGATAGCCACTCTTACTGCTGGTGGAAAAATGAGGAAAGGTCATTTTACTTTATTTTTAAATTTTATTTATCTATTTATTTTGTAACACCAAAACATTTTGTACTGGGGTATAACCTATTAGCAATGTTGTGACAGTTTCAGATGAACAGTGAAGGGACTCAGCCATACATGTCTGTCTGTCCATTCTCCCCCAGATCCCCTTCCCATCCAGGCTGGCGCATAACACTGAGCAGAGTTCCATGTGCTACACAGTAGGTTTTTATTAGTTATCCATTTTAAAAATAGCAGTGTGTACAAAGAAAGGTCATTTTCAATAAAGCTCAATGAAAGACAGCATAGACATATTTGAAAATCCAAACTCAACGTTAAAACACGGGACACATCTTGGTACACTATCTGGTAGATTATGTGGAGAGAATGAAATGATATAAGCATCCAGTCTTCTATCATTTCTACTAAAAGTCTTAGAGACATGACATAATTTCACTGCAGTTTTTTTTTTTAACACTGGCAGCTTTAGAGAGAATTATAATATTACTGTTTACTTCACTGTCACTTTTTTTTCCCACTGTCATTTTTAAACTGAAATTACTGCATTGCCATTTAACAGCCAATCAAATGATTCCAGGATTTTAAGATCATTGCTAGAGAAACAGAACATCTACTTCCTAGTCCATTTAAGTTGAATTTAAACTAAACAGATTTATTCTGTTAAAATTAATTTAAGTTTAACTTTAATTTAGGCTCAATAAACAGAAGGCAGGTTAATGATTTCATTTGGTTTTCCTTGGCACTGTAGCAACTTTCTCATTACACACTGCACCAGAAGACATTATAAGACTGCAGTGGGTGCTAAATGATGGGTGGTCTCAGATAGAAGATAATGATCACTGAGTACATATTTGGAGCTGCAAAACATAGTGCTTGCTTGGTAAATGGTTCAATTTGCATAATTAGGAAGATGATCATGAAATACCTGCCTGAAAATATTCATTTAAAAAGCATTAAAATGTCCTTTCTAGTTTAAGAAATCAGCTTTTCCCAAATGTGGTAGTACATATGAGTAGTTTGAATGCATTCATATTCTGAACCAAATAATTATGAGGTATTTCTGCTGGAGCAGTTCAATCAGATTTGTTAGTCTGAATACCAGAAAAGACTCTTCAAACCAAGGTAACTTGGTTGGATTCTACAGGGAAAATATCTTGCCATTTAGCCCTAATATGACATCATTTTAAACATTAAAAGCAATTAGTAATATCACTGGTTAGAGAACTAATGTTCTTCTGATTGCTTCTGTGTTCTTATCATTAATAAGTTATTAAGATAATTTTTAATTCTAATTCTCCTCTCATGAAATCCAAATTAATAACCTAAGGCTATTTATTTGCCAGCCAAGGAGTTCTTAATGACCTATTTTAACGACGGAATACACACAATAATGATGTTTCCTCAGAAACATCAACGCCATGTGTTTAAAAAATATATATAACAGAAAGACAAGTCTCTATCCACATCTTACAGTACTGTTTTTTGACTAATTTTTTTTTTAGAGAACTAGACGACTTCAGGATCACTTTGTTTATTTATTCATACTTATTTCTTTCACATACATTTATTAAATGCCTTTTGTGTGTCAGGCCCTATTCTAAATGCTGGTAATTGAGCAATGAATTCCTGCTTTCATGGGACTTACTTCCTAGTGGAGAATGACAGACAGTAAATCAGCTACTTCAAAAAGAAGGAAAATATATATGATTGTGTATCATATGGAGATTATAGTTCAAGAAAAATAAAGCAAGAAAAGGAGATAGTGTGTATATGTCAGGCGCTGGAGGCTGCCAGTGAAAAGGGACATTTGAATAAAGACCCAAAGGAGGAAGGGAGCAAGCCATGTAAATATCTGTGAGATGCACATTCCAGGTAAATGAATAGCAAGCACAGTGGTCATAAAGCAGGAGCCTACCTGGTGTGTGCAAGGGCCAGTAAGGCGGCCAGCAGAGCTGGAATGAGAGAACGGGAAGGTAATAAGGTAAAAATTCCAAGAAGTAAGTGTAGGGGGCGAGGGGCCTTCTAGACAATTACAAGAACTTTAGTTTTTAACTCTGCTGAAATGGAAAAGCACCTGAGAATTTTAAGCTGAGCTGTGACCTGATCTGACCCACATTTTAACAGGATCATTCCAACTCTAAATTGAAACAGATTCTGGGGGAGGCAAGGGTAGCAGCAGAGAGAACACTTAGGGAGTTTTCTCTGGAAAAATGAAACAGCCTTTCAGCAGACCCAGGACACCCAGCAATGAGCTTGAGGTGAGAAGCTAGAAAAAGGAGGAGTAAGGAAAATTCTACACATTGAACTTCTGGAATTCAGCCTTTCTCTTCACCCAAGCTATCTTTGTCTGCCTTGCTTTCAGAAGGCTGATAGTCATGTAGAAGACTGGGGTATTCTTTGAAAAACTGAACAGCCTCAGAGAAAGGAATTCCAGATGGTGACAGCTGGCCACTCCTTCAACATTCAAAAAAGCCCTGCACATACACAGGAGCTTCCCATCAGCCTTTGGATGCCTCTTGCTTCACTGTCAACAGAAATCTCAGAATCTCCAGAGACATGAAGCAGTTCTCCAACACAGGAAACCATGCCTGGAACAAAGAGAATAAAAGAGCCCTGAAGATATAGAGGCTATGTGA